CAGATGTTGTTATGCTTGATGTTGTGTCAGATGTCCCTAAGACTTCCCTCATTTCTCTTAATTCTTTTTTTTTAAATGTTCTCTTTGGGTGGTTATTGTTACCTTTTCCTCTAATTCACTGATTCTATCCTCTGCTTCATCTATCCTGCTGTTGATTTCTTCTAGTGTATTCTTCATTTTAGATATTGTATTCATTTCTGACTGGGTCTTTTTTATGGTTTCTATGTCCTTTTTAATGCTTACTATCTCTTCATATAAGTTCTCACTGAGATCATCCATTTTTCCCCTAAGTTCCTTATAACCATTGTTTTAAACTCTACCTGGTATCTTGGTTGCTTCCATTTCATTTAATCCTTTTTCTGGGGAGTTTGCCTGTTATTTCACTTGGAGCATATTTCTTTAACTCCCCATTTTACCTTCCTTTTGGGTGTTTTCTATATTAGGTAGTTCTGCTATGACTCCCAAACTTCTTATCATGGCTTTGTGATGTTGGTGTCTTATGGTCAGTAACACAAGCTCTCTAGTTGCCTGAGGTAGGTGCTCTTGGAATGTTTCTTGTGTGTTATGTTTACCCTCCTGTTGTAGTTGAGTCTTGAATGCTGTTGACCTACTCATGGGTAGAGTTAGTCCTCAGGTTGTTTGACTATAAGGATAGACCTCTATCACTGTGTATGAGTCACTGTTCAGGGGCTGCCCCACGAGTTGAATTTGTTCCCAGCAGGGTCTGGTGCCTGCTGAAATCTCCCTTTGAGTGTCCACTTGTGTGGTTAGTTGGGTGGAGCTCTCATGTGTTCTGAAGCTCACCACTGTTGTGTTGGTTCTGGGTCTGCTTGGGTTGGGTCTGGTGCAGGTCGATGTCAGATGTTGTGTGTAACATGTTTTGGGATACCTGTCTGGAAAACTACCATGCTACTCACTGTTTGTGCCTGCATCTACTAGGTCTGGGTGTGTATTGGAAGGGCCATGCTGTATATGAGGGTCAGCTTCCTGAAGCTCTGAGCCGGGGGCATGTCAGTTCAAGGTGCAAGGCTTTTTGAGGTCCAATTCCATCTTCTGGCTACTCTGTCTTTCACTGAAATTGCCTGGACTTGCTCCAGAGCCTTCCTAACAAAAACTGTAGAGTGGGCCCAGGCCAGCCACAACCCACAGACCTTTCAACAAGGCACGAGTTCAGTAGGGTGGGTTGACTGAGGTCAGGAGAATGGTGGGGACAGTGTGGTCAGCCTCTCAATGGGAGCTCAGGAGTGCCCACTACTCTAGAGCCAAACTACTTAGTATCTGCTAGAGTCTCAAACTCTACCTTCCCCAGAAGCAGCATGCTGCAGGTTCCAGTTGGGTGGAGCCAGCCATCCCCTACAGGAGCAAACTCAGCAGATCAGAGTCACTGAGACTCTGAAGAACTGATCAAGAGAGTCTCCTGTTTTTGTTGGTGCTAACCTAAGGTGCAGGAGGGAAGCAAGTACTTTGCCTCTCTCCTTCTTCACAGTCGCGGCCATCTGAATCCTGGACAGGAGCCTCTGAGGGAGATGCGCTCTGAAGGTCCCAGCTCTGAGCAGCACTCCCCATCTTCATAATTTTTAATTGGTAAAAAGAAAAGGTGAGTCTTTGGGACCTAATTAATAGCCACAATATTAATTTTTCTATCACCTATATCCTATTCTATCACCAATTGTCCCACCCAAAATTCATTTGCTGGCTCATTTTATTATTAGAAAATACACAAAAAGACTTGGTTAGTGCCAGAAATTGAGCATCCAGGCATGGCCTATGATTCCAAACAAAAAACAACTTGTCAGATAACCACAAGGTATTCATTACATATAAGAAGTAACAACTTTGCCTCTGATTTTTATACAGGTGCTGTGTACTACCAGAAAGTTATATTCCCAAAGACACCCCAAAACTTAAAGTGTTGCCCCAAGGTGCTAGTATTATCAAAATTAAAAATAATTGTTACAAACTTCATACTTTTGAGTCAGTTGGCATAATTTTCTTCTAAGAAAATAAAGTAACTAGTTGTTTAGTTGTGAAATTTATATTATTTAGTTATTATTTTATAACACTGATCTATAACCTTTTGGTTGGGGAAATTATTGTATTTGTGCATCTGTCCAGTTCATTACAGAATCCTTAGCACCCTGTGCTCCCACCCATTAAATGCTCATAGTGCACCATATTTATTATAACAACCAAAAATGCCCCTACATACATCTACACACCCCCAGCAGGACTTAGCTCTCACTTTACATAAACATGGCATGATACCATAAAAACACACCACTAGAAATGTTTCTTAAAATTGAGTGTTTTATTTTATGCATTTCAAATATTTAAACTTAAATACATGTAAATTACCTTAAATATTTCATTGTTTTACTCTCTTATTGATGTATAACATACATCTTCTACTCCCAACAATTAAGCTGTAAAGAGTGCAATTTGATTAATTTTTACCTATATATACACCCATATAATCGGGTATTAAATTTTGAGAATTTCTAACACCTCAGAAATATCCTTTATAACCCACAGACACACACAATAGTGTGTTGGTGGCCTGACAGAAAGGGGAATGAGGACTGGGTGGAGGTGGGCAAAGGAGAGGAAAAGGCATCTGTAATAGTGTAAACAATAAAAATAAAGTTATAAAAAGAAGTACCTTTTATGCCCCTTCACAACCTCCTTTCAAAGGTAACCACTAACCTGATTTCTAACAGCTTTGCCTATATTTGAAACTCACAACAAAAGGATGATAATATGCTTGACTTAGGGTGGTAAACACACAATACAATATACAGATGATGTATTACAGGCTTGTGTACCTGAAACCTATATAATTTTATTAACCAATGTCACCCCAATTAATTCAATTAAATAAAAGAAACAGAGACCTTTTAATTATGATGTTTCTTAGTGTGGGCCTCTCTGGGTTCATCTTATTTGGGACTTTGTGCAGTTCCTGGACTTGTATGTCTTTTTTCCTTCACCAGGTAATGGAAGTTTTCTCTCATTATTTCTTCAAACAGGGTCTTGATGTCTTGTTCTCCCTTTCTCCTTCTGGTACCCCTATGATGTGGCTGTTGTTACACTTCACATTGTCCTAAAAGTTCCTTTAACTATCCTCATTTTTTATGTTCCTTTTTCTTTTTGGTGCTCTGATGCGGTGTTTTCTTCTACCATGTCTTCCAAATTACTGATTAGATTTTCTGCTCCATCCAATCTACTTTTTATTTCTTCTAGTGTGTATTTCATTTCAGATATTACATTCTTTATTTACAAGTGGTTATTTTTTATCGTTCTATGTCCTTTTTCATGCTACTATAGCTCTAAGTTCCTTAAACATCCTAATAACTTTTTTTTTCACCTCTAAACCTGGCAGATTGCTTGCCTCCACTTCATTTAGCTCTTTTTCTGGAGATTTCTCCTCTTCCTTCATTTGGGGCATGTTTCTTTGTGTCCCCATTTAGGCTGCCTTTTTCTGAATTTTTTCTATGTGCAAGATAGATCTGCTCTGTCTACCAGTCTTGATAGGGTGACCTTAGGTAGTAGATATCCTGTGGGATCCAAGGGCAGTCTCCTTGATCACCTGATCTGGATGCTCCAGGAATGTCCCTTGTGTGGATTATGTGAACCCTTCTGTTTTCATTGAGTCTTGATTGCTATTGGCCTGTTCATGCATGCGCTCAACCTTCAGGTTTGCTGTAAGGATCAACCCTGAACACAGTGTACCAGCTGCTGTGTAGCTCCTGACCACACTATGTGGAACTCTCCTCAGTAGGGTCTGGTGCCTGCCAACATATGCCTTTCGATATGTCTCTTGTGAATCTAATTGGATCCTGCTGTGATGTTTTCTGAAGCTGGCTACTGGGTATGTTGGTTCTGGGCCACTGGGTGTGTTGGTTCTGGGTGGTGCAGTCCAATGTCAGGTGCTGCCTGTGACTAGCCCTGGGCATCCTTTTCAGAGCAGTCTTGATGTGTCTTCTTTTATAAATTCTTGGTTATAAGACCTCTGTTCTGCTAGTCTGCAATTTGTTATTCAGGTTGATCTATATTTTAGTTGTAATTCCATTTTGGTCCTGCAAGGAGGTGAGTGTAGCTTTCACCTACTCCACCACCACCTGCATCTCAAAAAAGAGACTTTTAATAACTTGTTACTATCTAGAACTTTTACAGAAACTTGAGAAATAGGTATTATTGCCTCTATTTTATAGATGAATAAATTTAAATTTAGAGTGTCTGATTTTTTAAAGTGATTTTTTAAAAACTGTTAAGTGGAAAACATGAGATTTAAACCCAGAAAGTTGGAACACAGATCCTTCTCTTTCACTTCTGCCTACACTTTGGCAGAGACAGAAGAAAGCTTTAAGGTTTGTGTGACTTTGGGAAATTGTTGGCATATTTTTTGCAACATTAGCAAAGTATGACAAGACATGACAAGATGCTCCATACTAGACTACAAATTTCTTAAATAGTGAGAATTTCCAAATTTCTACTCATTTGCAAGATTAGAATATGTAGATAATATAAGAAGCAGTCTCATCCAGATTCTACAAAAGTGTCACCTATGAAAAGTACTTACAACTTAATAACAAGCATGGTTAATCATCAATAGGGTCTCATATGCAAGGTGTCACACATCTGTGTGCAACATCATATTGTGGTATAATGGAGTGGAAAGGGCACAAGTCTTGGAGTAAGGCAAACTAGGTTTGCACCTTAGTTTTGCTTCTTACTAGTTGAGTGAGTGTAAAAATACTCAAGTTACTTAATCTAAGTTTTATTTTATTTATAAAACAATACTATTTAGCACACAGTTATGAAGATTTGGACAGAAGCCAGATAAGATAATTGAGATAAATATCCAGAGAAAGTTATAAGCCAAATAGGTACCTGAGCTTCAAGGATAGGTAACAAATATTTTCTTCTAAATAATCATTGTTGTCTTTAATTTTTTTCTGTGAACCTTGGAAAACAGTCTTATTTCTCACTTCTGCTTTCAGTTCCACTTATCCTATACAGACAAGGAGCGCTATGAAAATGAAGAGAGACCTGAGGTCCAAAAACAGATGCTTGTTGATATTGCCAAGAAGCTACCAGTTTACACAAGAACCGGAAGTGGAGGTCAGTTCATCCAAAGCCAGCTAGAGAGGTAGATGACCAGAAAGTTTAAGTCATATATATCCTCAGGCTAGCCTCTTTTTTCTCTTCTCTTCTGAGAAACACTGTGGAGTCTTTCTCAACATTTTACTATGAAAAATTTCAGGCATACATCTAAGATGGAAGAATTATATAATGAACATTTGTATACCCACCACTACAGTCTACCACTAACATTTTACTATATTGCTTTATCACACATCTGTTCATAAACCCATCCCTCTATCCATCATTAATAAAGCCAACTTATTTTTGGTGCATTTTAAGGTAAATAGCAGATATCAGTACATATCTACCTAAATGTTTATCATTTTGGGGGGCTGAAATATACATGTATGCGTAAAAACATGCACGAATACTAAGTGTATCATTCAGTGTTTCTTCAAATGTATACACTTGAGTAACAAAAACTTCCATAAACATTGCTACATCCCATAATGTTCTCTCAGACTCCTTACCAGTAAATCCCACTAAACACAACTACTGTTCTGATGTTTTTACACCACAGATTAGTTTTACCTGCTCTAGAATTTTGTATAAATGGATTTATACAGTATTTACTGTTTTGTCTGTCTTATTGTATCCAGCATAATGCTTTTGAGACTTAGTCACATGATTGTGTATTTCATTCCCTTTATTACTGAGTAATATTTTATTGTATGAGTATATCATTGTTTATTTATTTATCCATTGATATATACATTTGAGTTTTTTTCTGGTGCTTAGATATTATGAGTTAATCTGCTACGAACATTCTTGTATGAGTATTTGTGGAGAGGTATCTCCATTTTTCTTGCATAAATATGCACTGCTTTATTTACTACACCCTATTCCCTGGATCCTTGAAGCATTTGTTTGCAGCCCCCATGATATAGAGTAATAGAGAGCTTCTCTGAAGAAATGTCATTTGATCTGAGACTGGAAGATAAAAAGGAACTGCAAAATACAAAAGGCCCTGGGAAGGGAGCAAGCTTGCATTATTAGAAGAAAAGAGACATCCACTGTGGCTGGGGGAGAGCGATACGAGTTAAAGCTGAAGAGGTAGCCTAAGGCCAGATGATGCAGGCCATATTAAAGAGTTGGGATTTTTTTAAAAGATTTTATTTATTTATTTTCAAAGAGAGAAAGAGAGATGTGTGAGAGAGATATCAATCTGTTGCCTCTTGCACGATGGGGCCCACAACCAAGGCATGTGCCCTGAAAGGGAATAGAACAGGCAACCTTTGGTTTGCAGGCCAGCACTCAATCCACAGAGCCACACCAGCCAGGGCAAGAGTTGGGATTTTTATTCTGGGGGTTTTGGAGTACATTGAAGGTTTTAAATGGAGAATGATATGATCTGATTTACATTTGAATAGATTACCTGGCTCTTATGTAGAAAATGTATTGCAGGGTGTGGAGCAGGAGTAAAGGCAGAGTGAATAAATAGGCAGTAACTATTGCAGCCATCTAAGTGAGAGATGATGGTGGCTTATACTGGGCAGTGCCTTTGACTATATCTTTAAAAACAATCAGGCAAGAAAAAGAAATAGGCATCTAAGTTGGGAATGAAGTAAGTGCTACTTTTTGCAGATGATATAATTATTTATATAGATAACCCTAAAGATTCCACTAAAGAACTATTAAAAACAATAAACAAATACAGTAAAATTGCAGGATACAAAATCAATGTACAAAAATCCACCACATTTCTATATACTAACAATGAAATTTCAGAAAAAGAAATGAAAATAACAATTCCTTTTGCAATTGCAACAAAAAGAACAAAATGCCTAGGAATAAACTTAACAAAGGATGTGAAGTATCTAAACACTGAAAACTACAAAGCATTATTAAAAGAGATTGAAAAAGACACAATGCAATGAAAAGATATTACCTGTTCATGGACTGGAAGAATCAACATAGTTAAAATGTCCATATTACTCAAAGCAATATACAAATTTAATGCAATCCCCATTACAAGAGATTACAAGAGACACACAGACCAATTGAATAGAATTGAGAGCCCAGAAATATAACCACATGTATATGGGCAAATAAATTTTGACAAAAGAGCCAAAAACATGCAATGGAGAAAAGAAAGACTCTTCAATAAATGGTGATGGGAAAATTGGAAAGACACATGCAAAAGAATGAAACAAGGGGACTACAGTTTGTCCCATTGTATAAAAATTAATTCAAAATGGATCAAAGAACTAAATATGACATCAGAAACAATAAATTATATAGAAGAAAACATAGGTACAATGTTAATGGACCTTTGTAGAGAAAATTTTATGGATTTGACCTGAAAGACAGGGAAGTAAAGGCAAAAATAAATGAATGGGACTATATCAAACTAAAAGCTTCTGCGCAGCAGAAGAAACTGACAGCAAAACAAAAAGACAACCAACAGCAAGAGGTTACTATCCAAATATGTAAAGAACTCATACAACTCAACACCAAACAAACAATCCAATTAGCAAATGGGCAGAGGAGCTGAATGTGCACATTGACAGTTACAAAAGAGCCATGAGGATGTAAAGTAGAGCATAGGGAATATAGTCAATAATATTGTAATAACTGTGCATGGTTTTAGATGGGTACTAGAATTACCTGGGTGATCACTTTGTAAGGTATATAATCACTATGCTGTACACCTGAAAGTAATATAAAATTGTATGTCAACTGTACTTTAAAGATTTTTAAAAATTTAAAAAAGTGAATGCCTTTCATGTAATGGAAATAAAGTAAGAAAGGAAAAAGGGAGGGAGGGAGAAATGATTTTTCATATCAGACTTAGAATAAAGAGAATACTGAACTATGGGTTCAGGAAAACTGTACTGGTCACAACTCTGCTACTCACTCAGTTTGTGACCTTGTATAATTCACTTGGTTTGACTCAGGTCTTTACTTCTTTTATCTATGAAATGATCACTTGATATAATTGTTCTAGAATGTCTCTTCTGTTCTCCAAATTGTTATGCTAAGAACCAATATATTTACCATGCTTTAGGAATTTTATCTACCTCATAGAATAAAGCCTCTGGAAACAGAAGAGAAAAATATGAATCCTAGTTTTCAGATATGAGAGTTAAAGTAAACAGAGGCTAAAAGATTTTCCTAGGATCACTCAAGCAGTTGACAGTGGTTGGTTTCCTTTCTTTTTTTTTTTAATTAATTAATTTATTTTTTCAACTACATTTGTCTCTGCCTTCCCCCCACCACTTTTTCTTGCCCCCTCCCTCAACTCTACCCCTTTGGTTTTGTCCATGAGTCCTTGCTATATGTTCCTTGGCTTTCCCCCTTCCCTTCCTTTTTCCCCACCCCCCTCCCTCCTTTCCTCTTGTCTTTGTTGGTTTCTTTTCCTTTCAGTGTTGCTGGTCTTATTTTCTTTGCATCTTTGTATTGTTGGTTAGATTCCGCTTATAGGTGAGATCATATACAAAATCTTATGATTAGGTATCTTATCTAATCTTAAGATAAGAAAACTTTCCCCATACCTTCATCCCCAAAAAGTGCTTTAAAGATTTATATAACAGAACATGCTCCTTCTTTCTATCTTGAGTATGCCTGAGCCTTTCCCCACCTACTTCTTTTCCCTTTCCCCTCTCTCCTCCCCCTCTCCCTCTCTCTGGAGCACACCCACACCTTTCCCTCTCTTCTTCCCTCCAGGCATGTTACCTTTGTGTTGTTCTCTCTCTCTCTCTCTCTCTCTCTCTCTCTCTCTCTCTCTCTCTCTCTCTCTCTCTCTCTCGGCCCGCCCCCCCTTCCCCAGCTCCAAGGGCCCTCTTTGGCCTCTGTAACTTGTTTCCTGAGCTGGCTCACTTTTTCTACCTCTGTAAACTTCTAAATAAACTATCATTTGTATTTGAAAAAAGAATGATTGATACAACAGGAAAAAAATACATACCACAATTCTCTTATGCAACCTGTTTTTTATTTGATAACTTAGAATGAGTTTGACTACCTGTAATCAGTGTGTAGCAAGCCATCCAGCTAGGCTAGGAAGATACATGGTATCACATTGAGCCCTAATCAATGCTAACCACCTTATTTTTCCTATAGCTGTAAGATTCTGTGACCGGTGCCAATTGATCAAGCCAGATCGCTGCCACCACTGCTCTGTCTGTGCTATGTAAGTGACAGCCATATTTCTCCTGGACTGAGCTTGGCCACTGATGATTGCTTAGAGAACAATGTGACTGATCGTAAGATGTGACCATTCCTAAATGAAAACATTTTCTATCAATCATAATGAGTATGTACTAAATACCGTTACAGGGATGATGATTCAAACTATTCTAAGGATAGGAAAGAAAAATCAAACCCCATTTTAAAAATAAGCATTTTCTTTTTTAAAGATTTTATTTATTTTTAGAGAGAGGGGAAGGGAGGGAGAAGGAGAGAAACATCAATGTGTGATTGCCTCTTGTGCACCCCCTACTGGGGACCTGGCCCACAACACAGGAATGTGCCCTGACTGGTAATTGAACCAGTGACCCTTTGGTTCGTAGGTCGGCACCCAGTCCACTGAACCATACCAGGCAGGGCAAAAAATAAACATTTTCTTTTAGAACAGTTTCAGATTGATATAATTATTATAAAGATAGTCCTCATATGTTCCATACCAATTTTCCTTATTAACATCTTATATTAATATGGTAAATTTGTTCCAATTAACAAACAAATATTTATACATTATTTTTGACTGAAATCCATACTCCCTTTAGATTTCCTCAGTTTCCCCCTAATGTTCTTTTTCTGTCCCAAGATCCCATTCAGGACACCACATTACATTTAGTTGTCGTGTCTTCTTAGGCTTCTCTTAGCTGTGACAGTTTCTCAGACTTTTTTTTTATAATCTTGATAGCTTTTAGGATTGTTAGGTATTTTGTAGAATATACTTCAGTTCAGATTTTTCTGATACATTTCTCAAGGATAGCCTTGGGTAATATATTTTGGGGAGGAAGACCATAGAGGTAAAGTGCCATTCTCACTGTATCATATCAAGGTACATAGTATAAACATGACTTATCACTGTGATGTTCATCTTGATCATCTGGCTTGAGGTAGTGTTTGACAGATTTCTCCACGATAAAGTTAGTCTTTCCCCCTTTCCAAACTGTACTCTTTGGAAGGAAGTCACTATTCGCAGCCCACGCTAAAGGATTGAGCAGTTATGCTCCCCCTCCTTGAAGGCAGAGTATCTACATATGTTATTTTGAACTCTTCTGCATAGGATATTTGTCTCTTCTGCATTTATTTACTTATCCAATCATTTATTTATATCAGTATGTAGGTATGGATAATTATTTTATATTTTGTGTTATAATGCAGTACTACTTTGTTTTGTTACTCATATTGCTTCAGCTTTGTAAAACCCCACTTTTATGTTAATAAATATAATCTTCAGCCCTGGCTGGTGTGGTTCAGTGGATTGAGTGCCAGCCTGTGAACCAAAGGGTTGCCGGTTCTATTCCCAGTCAGGGCACATGCCTGGGTTGCCAGCCAGGTCCCCAGTGGGGGTCACAAGAGGGAACCACACATTGATATCTCTCTCTCTCTCTTTCTCCCTCCCTTACCCTCTGTCTAAAAATAAATAAATAAAATCTTTTAAAAATATATAATCTTCGTATCTTTCTTCTTGGGTGCTTCTTCCACCTATATTTATTTTACCCATGATTCAAACAAAGACAGTAGCCATATATTTGCTTCTGTACTTTTAGTAAATTAAGTACTGAGCAAAATGAAGGATGATATCTTAAACTTCTCTGTATCAATATCCTAGAATTCACAATCCCTTTTAAACATTAGACTTCTAGGCATGTAACCTGTTACCAGCATGATCCTACAGATTGTTGTGATTGGCTAATTGTAGGAAGAACTGAGAACACAATAGTTTTAGAGTAGCTATAGTGGAAATCTAGGAACAAGTGTACTGGCGCCATGTAAAAAAATACTGGTGAGACCTTGAGTTCAATTATGAAATGCTGCTTTATTTACATAGCCCTATTTACCACACTATATTTTGCTCCTTTTTTAGGTGTGTATTAAAAATGGACCATCACTGCCCTTGGTAAGTCCCTTTTATTTACTTATTTCCTCTAAAAAGGTCAAAGTTGCTCTATATGCCTACTTTACTAAGCATAGTTGTAACATGTCTGTTTCTGTGATTCACTGGTCTTTTTATTTGTGGGAGGGACAGGGGCTTAACATTTTAAAGCAAGAGTGAATATGCCACTAAAGGCGTGGTAGTGAATTCTTGTGGTCACAAAGTTAATGGTCTCTTAGCCATTATCTTTCGTAATTAGGCATAGTAATGAAATAAAGCACAAATTGTTCTTCTCTTTGACATTACACAATCAGTTCTGGGGTTTTTTTCTGTCTTGATGTTTGAAATACTCTAGATTGTTAACTTCAGCAATTCCTTACCTTTTTTCTCTCTGATCTAGAGAACCATTCTGAAATCATCTAAATACAAAGAGAACATGCCACGTTGTATTAAGTGTACCTGCTAAGATTTTAATAGGTCTTCAGCATCCAAGATCTAGATTTGTTTGGGTGTGTCAGGAACCAGTCCAGAACAATTAGAATGGCCAGGTATCTCTGTGCCTGTAAATGAAAGGAGAAACAAGTGAGACATGAACTTTTTTTCTCAATCTGTTCCTCTTAAGGGACTTGATTTCTGTTGAATTCCTATACATCAGGAGCATCATACTTCCATTGCTTAGTTCACTTATGTATCAGTGTGTTCTCAATAAATGATTTCAAATTAGTTTTTCTCTTTTTTTTAGGGTTAATAATTGCATTGGATTTTCCAACTATAAATTCTTCCTTCAGTTCTTAGCTTATTCTGTTCTCTACTGCCTGTACATTGCTACAACGGTCTTCAGCTATTTCATCAAATACTGGAGAGTAAGTTTAAAAATCCTGAAGCACCCCCCCAAAAAAACACCCAAACACACACCTACTCTAGTCTGTGACATTGTTCACCTTATCTTTTTTTACATTTTTAAATAGCTAATATGGAAGTAACAAGAAGGGAAGGCACCAAAAGTAAGTTTCCCATGTCTAATATTCTGTGATTGAGGAGATTCAAAAGATTCCAGTTGTACAAGTTTCTGTCATATATGAAAATCTTTTTAAGGCATTCAGGAACCTAAACTCTTGACTCTTGCTGATTCTTTATAATGTACTTCTCTAGTCCAGTCTAGTCTAGATGTGAAGTTTTAAAAATTCACATCTTACTAATTATAGATTTGACAAACGTTCAAACAAATTCTACATCCTTAGTTTCTTAAGAAAAAGGGGCAACAAAGTACTCCCTCATTGTTAGAAAATAATTTTTAATTCTTTATTCAAAGGAGAGTCACAAAATTCCTACTGGAAAGAAAGAAAGACACATCAACTCATCTTCACATATGACCAAAATGAAATGAGGAGTCTTATTTGAAGTTTGTATAAAAATGCTGGTGTTCTAATACTGGCTCTGTTACCTGCTTCACTGGCTCATTGACAAAATTCAGTAAAAGAGATGTTGAAAGCACTCTACTTTTCAAAATATGATTCTAATAATTATAATGAAATTTTAAAATCCTACTTTCATCTTTCTTCTTCTTGAAGAGATCAATCTCATGTATTTCCAAAAGAATTGAAGGCACATTTTCAGTTTACACATGTATACTGGATCTTCAGAAATATAGTAAAATATGTTGTTTTGTTTCATGCCAATAGACTCCAGAAGACATCACCTCCACACAACTCTACCATAATTACAAAGACATCATAACCTTCCATGAAGAGAATTGTCCAAACTGAACCTGAATAACAAAAGACAGATGTAGGCAGAGCTATGAGTTATTGTTTTAGGAATTAAACCAGAGCCTGTATAACAGGAATATCTTACATTAGGTAGAAAGGTAAAGCAGCAGGGAAAGAACATGAATCCTGTGACCAGAATATGGATTATAATAAACTGGAGGAAAAAAGGGAGAAAAGCAAGGCAGTGAAAACCTAAGTAGCAGAGAATATTTAAATTGTTAAATAGTGATTCATTCCTACTAATATAGGAAATATAGTGTAGAAAATTATAGTGATATGTGCTTTCCATTCTCCTGTCCACTTACTTAATCAATCAGATATTTAATAACTTTAAGAACCATGAATGATATAATGGATATCAAAAGCTTTAACTCAGAGACACAAAAGTATAAGCAGAAATAAAGTTTTCTCATCAATTTTGTATTTTCCCCAAATACAAAATGCTTCACCATCTTGGTATTTCTTCATTGGTCCTTTTGCACAGGACAGGATCTCTTATCTATTGCTCATTTTTATGACATGTTTGGCATTTTATTCACATACTGAGCTACTACCCTGAAAGTAAACAAAACCTACTACATCCAGTTCAGCAGGTAACATGTCAGCCTTAGTCTTCACTGCAGACTTTACTTAACACAGTAAGCTGCTGTTTAAGAACTACTCTATGCTCTCCCAACAGAGTAAACAATACATTTGCCTTTGACATTCCTAGTCAGCCAATAATCAAATGCCAAAATGCCAACCAGGTGCCATATGCTTTTTTTTAACTCTTGGAAGATAATATTTGGATATGAATCAATCACCAGAAATATGTCAATATTCACAAGCAATATCAGGGGTGAACATAGCCTTGTCCTTTCCTATGCCCTTATTTCTTCTCCACAATATACTAGCTTATGCCTGACAGATGAGAGAGAGGCAAAGAAACCTGTCTTGGCTTGCCTTCATAATGAAAAGGACATTGTCAGTTCAGAGAAATGCTTCTTTGCAGTTTCTCCAGCCAGAGAATGCTTTGGCGTGGTTTAGAGATGGCTTTTTCAGTGTAAATTGGGTCTCCCTTAAAATGAAAAGTAAACACTGTCATTTATTGTAAAAGCTATTGTATCAAGGAAACCAGCTGTGCTCCTAAGAACAGAAACATTCATTTGTATAGTACTTTACCATTTTCAAAGCACTTTTATATCTATTCTCTCATTTTATCCTCACCACAGCCTTGTGAAGTAAACAAAGAAGGAATTACTAGTCTCATTTAAAGATGATAAAACCGAAGCTTATAGTAGTTAAGTGATATGCTCAGGATCACCCAGTTTGTAACTTTCAAAGCCAGGATTTGAATCTGACTCTAAGCCCAGTGATATTACTGCCCATAATGGTCCTGCTATGAAGAAGCTCTAGCTCCTTTGGGATAAGAATTCAGAAGACCATCAGATTGTGTCTTTCCTCTCAATATTAATGTAAAAAGTTGCTACTTTGTTAGGAAACTGATCTTTACCTTATGAAAAATGAGTAATATATGTCTCCAATTCTGGACCATGAATCTCCTCACGGAGGCTATGAATTATTTTAGAACCAAGATAATAGGTATTATTTCACCAGCATTTCCCTGAACTGCTTCTGGTGTTTATTGCTTTGAGTAGTTTAGTTTGGCTATCTCCTGAGAAGGTAATTTTGAACATAGGGCCACCACACTCTTCTAAAAAAAAGTTAAATATTAAGTACTTTATCAAGGGGCTACACAGTAGAGTCCTGTAAGAGTAGTTAGGGGAGAGAAAGACTTTCAGCTCAGCTATCCAGGGTGTGAACTGACTTTATGTCATTCCCTCCTGTGCAGTCATTTTCTATTGTCCATTTCAACATAAAGGTAAATATTAAAATAAATGAGTTTTAAAAGCTTTAAAAAAACATGCTAAAAAAGTAGAGATGTGAAATAAGAACCCAGCCAGGCAAAAACCACTACAAAATGATATGTGGAGTTTTTCTTATAAATTCAAAACAAAACAAAAAAACAATCAAATTCAGTTTGAGTGCTTAGGCCAAGAGGTATCATTTTAAAAGGGAACTTGAGATGAAAGTTTCTGAAGGTTGAAGTCCTAGGAATAGCTATTTTCTGAGGTGCAAATTTCATGCAGGTTTTACCCAGACCACGCCTTAGATGAAAGCAACTCACTGGCTTAACTCCGTTTCTCTTTGTTCTTTGAACACACACACTCTGGGAGATTCCAGGTATTTCCTTACATCGAAATAAATAAAAATCTCCTCTAAGAGAAGAAAAAAAAATCTGTACTACCCAAATTTGCCAAGTGTTTTCCCGCTTTAACTTTCTCCTTCGAAACTAGGGTAGAACCAGATTCTAATGTAAGGTCCACTTCAAGAATAACTTTTAACTGTATCACTCTAGATCACTTGGAAATATTTGAAAATAATTCATCATGCCAAAATAATAATCAGCACAGGAGAAGAGCAGTGAAGAAAAGTCATTCTCACAATGCCTTATTCCAGAATTGAATTTTTTTCCTAATATTCTCTTCAGAAAACAAAATATTACATGCTGTGCATGCTACAAAACTTTAGAAAATTCATTTTGGTCTAGGGCTGCACATTTTTTAAAAATCTGGTGCCACATAGAGGATAAGATGTCCCAGCTAACTATAAAAATCTTAAAGTGTGGTGATGGCCTGAAGGAATAAGGTGTGAGGGCCGGGTGGAGGTGAGCAGGGGCGGAAAATGGAGACATTTGTAATAGTGTAAACAATAAAAAAAAGTTTAAAAAATCTTTAGCTACATACTTTTAAATTAGCCTGTCAAATACTGCTTGATTTTATTGTATAAACAGTAATTTTACAGGATGTAATATATCAACATATTGTAGTTCAGCTATTTTAAAAAAACAAATGACCATACAGAATTAGTAGTAACTTTAAAATAAGGTCATGGCTTATAGGAAGAACATTTTAAAATTCTACCTAGGTATTTTAACTTCCTACATATATCACCATGACATTTTCAACATACAGTGTCCAAGGAAACATGACATAAAAAGTATTGCAGAATTACCCACCTTGAGATAAGAGGATGAATCATATAATCTCAAAATTAACTGTAGCCAATGGTTCATAATTTGGAAACTAAATGGAGAACAAGCCTTAAGACATTGCATACCAATTATGGACTGAATATACCCTTTTCACATTACCTTTTTCTAATGGGCACATTATAGATTCTATTTTACACTGAACTGCACTTAAGCAAGAATCCATTTTAGACTTCATAAGCTGAAAGCATATCCATAAGAGACATGGTCATCAACAGAAAGAACTCTTTTGTAAAACATTTACAAAATCTATTTTTAAATTACAGCTAGACATTTTAAACATATGAAAAATTACTAACCAAAATAAAAAACCTAGCCAAGTCTCACCACTTTAATCGTTTGTTTCTGTTTATTATTTCTTTTCTAGGGGGAATTGCCAAGTGTCCGCTCTAAGTTCCATGTCCTTTTTCTCCTCTTTGTGGCCTGCATGTTTTTTGTCAGCCTTGTGATTCTCTTTGGTTACCATTGTTGGCTTGTCAGCAGAAACAAAACCACCTTAGGTAAGACTGGGTATTAAGACTAGGGGAAAAACGTATTAATGTATATCACAGTGACCTGTGGAGTATTCCCAAGGAATAGAAAAACTTCTAATGAAGCATTTGAGCTACAGTGACATCCCCTTGTCTCCAAACTGAGACAAATGTAAACAAATTTTACCAAACTGGAGAGCCATGACGAATGAAGCTTACTTAGTGAAGAGAGCATTAGTGAACGAAACCTCATGTAGAACCAGAAATGACGACTGCTCTTTGTAGTTCATATTGCATAATAGCTTTCCAGATTTACAGCTTGAAAATTTTCTAAAGTGTTCACATGAGGAAGTGAAGAAAAGAATCAGTACAGAAGGGAATACTTGAAGGAGGAAGTAAAGGTCAATAAAGATCAAAGAATCTAATTTATTGAGCTCATCCAAAAATAGAGTCCTGAAAAAGAACTCTAACCAACAAATCACTGAATATCCATAATCACCAAGGAGCTATGTAGGGACTGTGGGGATGAGATAAACACATTAAACAACTGAGTCTCTAGAAAATGAGTACAAGAAATGAACATTTTTTTTCTGTCCATTACTTTGTCCTCTGGCGCTGTTATTTGGAGAACTATATTTCTGATGGATTCCAGTACAACAATTTTTTCATCTATGGTGAAAGAAATATTTACATTGTATGCAAATTAATGCATGAGGAGTGAGGAGAAAGTGTCAAAACGTTGAATGTTTAGCTAAAATAGGTTTGAGAAAAGTTTAGTACAAAAGCCACTATACTTTTCAAGTTGTTTACTAATAACGCTGATAGGTAAGAAAGCATTTGCACTTGTTTTCTAAACCAAATATATATGTAGCACTTAGTTGCTAAGGTGGTGGATTCAGTTGCAAATAGAAAAGTACTAAAAGCTTCATGATAGAAGAGTCTGAAAACAAAGAACAAAAAGGAAATGGCCAGATGCAGCCAGAGTCCATCAGTGAAAATATTTGCTTAATGGAATAATAAAAGTGTGTTTAAATATAATGTGCACTGACATGGGCCAGTTCCTCATAGTCTTTAAGGTGATCATAGTTCACCCAGTTTCTTACACTGCAGGCTTCAGTGTGAACATCTTCATTTCTGAAATGATTCAAAACCAAATCAATGTTATCATCTTTTTATGTTTTATTGATTTGGCCCCAACCCTAAAGATGGAAACCATTTGGTTGTTGTTGTCAACTAAATTAAAATAAAGTGCTATTAAATTTATTGTGTTGCTCCTTACATACAGCACTACAAAATATATTCTGTGCCTATGGCTGTTTAATTACTTCCTCCATCATGTCTTTTTTTTCTGCCATTTAAAAAAAATAGAATAACAAACTTACTTTGTATTAGGTACTTAAAATGGTTTTTACTAAGTAATTTAGCAGTCACTAAGAATGAAGGGCCTATGCTACCACAGCAAAAAGGTATCATAGAACCAAGTCACATTCATGGAGAACTGTAAAATCATGATGGTTCTGAAATTTATTCCCTTATTGCTTTCTTCTTCTTTTCTTCAACTCCCCTACCCCGCCACAGAGGCCTTCTGTACTCCAGTGTTTACAAGTGGCCCAAAGAAAAATGGGTTCAACCTTGGCTTCATAAAAAATATCCAGCAGGTTTTTGGAGACAACAAGAAGTTCTGGTTAATACCTATTGGGTCCAGGTAGGTAATTATTACCACTGAAAGAAGTTGATTCTGGACCATACCTTGAAGTAGCAGATGTAATTTTCATTGTAAGATGCAGCAGGTATCAGGGCAGTGTAAATCTCTATTCCCTAAGTTTTTCATTTTTAACTTAGCAAAGATAAATCAGGAAGTAAGGGTATGATAATACAGACATTCTTGTGCTTTTTTTTTTTTTGTGGCAGTGTAAACTGGTACCACTCTTTTAAAAATGAATTTGGTAATATGTATTTTAAAACCATACAAATATACAGGTCAATTGTCTCAATAATTCCATCTCTGAGAATATATTATAAAGACAGAGACAAACTAGGCACAAAAATATTTATTGCAGCATTATTTCCAGCCAGTAATTAGGATACAACCTAAAGTCTGACAATATGGGAATATATATATATGAAAATTAAAAACTCAAAAGTAATGGTTATAAACATTATGTCACAATAAGGGGAATGCTTAGTATATTTTAAGTGAAAAAAATGTAGAATTCAAAATGGTATGTACACTGTAATATCATTTCAGTGAGATGTGGTGCATTTGTGTTAATTTGAAAGCAACCCAGAGAGCCAAGAACACATTTTTATTTTTTAACTTATTATAGCACACTATAATATTTATTTCAAGCTGATATATTTTTAAAATAAATCTGTAAAATAAAAAAATGTAAAAATAGGACTTCCCAGTCACAATAGAACAGTAAGCAAATGCTATGCTCTTCTCCTCCCATGATCGTATCAAAATTACAACTAATTATAAAACAATCACCCTGGAGAACCATCTGAACACAAGCTGAATAGAACTCCTATAACTAAGGATATAAAGAAGAAGCCACATTTAGACTGGTAGGAGGTGTGGATACTGGAAATGGGCTGGTCCCACACCCATGCATCAGGGTAAAGAATTGGAAGGGAGGAATATCTTAGCTGTGGAGGTCCCATCTTTGGAGCAGGTGGTCTCAGCCCCATACTGCATACCTCAGCTCAGGACATGAGTGCTGAGAAGAGGAGTCCCTACAACATCTGACTGTGAAAATCAGTGTGGATTCTATTTGGGTGAGATGGAGGGCTGCTGTAGACCCAGGCATCCTCTTAAAGGGCCCAAACACAGTCTCACTCAACTACAAAAAAAATCCCCCTAGCTTCAATGAAGAGACAGCAACTCAAAAGGCACCAGGGACATATGGGGGGGATTGAATTGTGTGGCTTCCTTTGTTGAGCCCTACTCACATATAGTCTATAGGCACAGGATGGTGCCACTGTTCTGGTGGTGAGCCCTCTTCCCAGACAGCCTGCATTCTCACACAGGTGCCAAATCAGAATATGCAGTAACCTGGTAAACACACCTGGCACCACCCTGATGACTCCCTGGGACCTCACCACACCAAACTCCAGCACCACCAAAGTCTTTTTCAGCAGTTGTTTCTTACAGGCAGAGAGACATGGCCCATGCTACAGACTTACCTAAAACCCCTCAAAGGCCCACAGTCCCCAGGGAGGTGACAGCTGGCCTCTGTGCACCCTGTGCCTATTCCTGAGTGGTCCACAGCCTAGAACAGATGGCAGCCGTCCTAGATAAGCAGTGTGGCATCTTGCATGATACTCTGGGCACAGCATGGGCAGCTAACAATCATGTAAGGGGCCACAGAACAAACATACCCAGTGGCCAGGTTCAGACCAGAAAACAACACCACCCAATAAGCTCCACATATAGCACAACCAAAGGCTGGTCTCAGCAGACACTAGAGCACCAATGAGGGGAATGTTGCTTCATGGAGTCAGCGCCCACACAACAGCTCATACCCTGTGGTCCTGACCAGGCCTCATAGCCAGTCAGCCTGAGGGTCAGCCCCACCCACTGATGTGCCAACAGCAATCAAAGCTCAAAGACAAAAGGAGAGTGTACACAGCCTACACAAAAGATACTCCAGGAGCATCCAGTGCAAGTGCCCTGGGAGACTGCACCACTGGGCCCTACAGGACACCTACTACAGAAGGCCACCTTGCCAAGACTGGGAAATATAGCAGATCTACCTAATATACAGTAACGAACAAAGAGACTCAGCCAAAATGAGGAGACACAGAACCTCACAGACCTAGTCCCAAATGCAAGAAAAGGAGAAAACTCCACAAAAAGAACTAAATGAAATGGAGGCAAGCAATCTACCAGAGTTCAAAACACTTGTTTTAAGAACGCTCAAGGAATTTAGGGGAAGAATAAATGATCTCAGTGAAAACATAAACAAAGAGATGGAAAACATAAAAAAGATCATAGAAAGCATAAAAGAAGTCAGAAATGAAGAATGCAATGTCTTAAATAAAGAATACACTAAAAGAAAGAATAGTAGATTAGATGAAACAGAGAATTAAATCAGCAATTTAGAAGACAAGGTAATGGGAAACACCCTATTGGCACAGCAAAAAGAAAAAAATAATTTAAAAAATGGGAATAACTAAAGGGACCTCTGGAGCAACATCAGTAATACTGACATTTGCATCATAGGGGTACCAGAAAAATAAGACAGGGAGTGCAAGAGATTGAAAACCTATTTGAAGAAATAAAGAGTGAAAAATTCCCTAACATGGCAAAAGAAATAGACATACAAGTCCAAAAAGTGCAGAGTCCCAAATAGGATGAACCCAAAGAGGCCCACACCAAGACACATCATAATTAAAATGGCAAAGGTTAAAGACAATGAAAGAATATTAAAAGTAGTAAGAGAAAGACAGTTACCTACTCAGGAACTCTCATAAGATTGTCAGCTGATTTCTCAAAAGAAACTGTGTAGGCCAGAAGGGACTGGCACAACATATCGAAAGTGATGAAAAGCAGGACATTAAAATTGAGATTGTGATACTCAGCAAAGTCATTATTGAGAATCAAAGGCAGATAAAGGGCCTTCCAGACAAGTAAAACCAATATTACAAGAAATGTTATAGGGACTTCTATAAGAAGAGGAAGCAAAAAGGATTATAAATATGAATAATAAAATGACAGTAACTACATATCTATTAATAATCACTTTAAATGTAAGTAGATTAAAAGTTCCAGTCAAAAAACACAGAGTAGCTAAATGAATAAGAAAACAACACACACACACACACACACACACACACACACACACACACAAGAAAGCAAGACCTGGGGAACTTGCAGTCAAGTTGGTGGTATAGGTAAATATGGCTCGCCTCCTTGCACAACCACATGAAAATTACAACTAAATTATAAAACAATCATCACTCAGAACTGTCAGAAATCAGGTTGAAAGAAATTCTGACAACAGAATTAAAGAAACTACATCCATCCACACTGGTTGGAGGGGCGGAGATGCAGAAGGCTAATCCCACATCCACATGTGGTGGATAAAAATTCAGGAGGGATATCTTGGGGGCGAGGAGTCCCAGCCCTACACCAGGCCCCACAGCACAAGATTCCAGTGCCAGGAAGATAAGACCCTATAACTTCTGCAAAAACCAGCAGGGATTGAGTCAGTGGGAAAAACTTTTGGAGTTCCAAGCAGTTCCTTTTAAAGAACCCACACAGAGACTTACCCAGAGTCACTCCCTCTGAGTTCTAGCACCAGCAGCTTGAACTGAAGGTAGCAGCTTGAAACACACCAGTGGCATACAGGGGGAACCTGAAGTATCTGGCATCAAGGTGAGAGCTGGGGGACATCTTTCTCCCAGAGAGAAATGTGGGCAGAACCATGGAGCTGGCAGGTGGGTGCCATATCTGTGACTCCATCAACCTGGCTCACACTGTTTGCCTCACCTTGGTGATTCCCTGAGGCTCTGCCCCACCCAACTTACAGCTGTCAACAGTGGCCTTCCCAAATGAATGGCTGTTTTTGGCTCAAGCTTCACATCTTCTTAAATCATTTCAAACAAGCAACAGCTGGCCTCAGTGAGCCCCTAGCCCCTGTACCTCTTGCTAAGTGGCCCCAAGAAAGCACCAGCAGCAGCCAGCCTAGATTCACAGCTTGGCTTCGCCTGCAATGCCCAAGACCAGCACAAGCAGCAGCCATCTCAGATCACCATATATCTCAGGCAGGGTAGCCCCAGGCAAAATACAGGTGGGAGCTGACCATCACCTGCAACACCTGGGAAATCCCACAGCCTGCACACCAAGTAGACAGCTACAGACTATGTCAGAGCACCACCACCCTACCCCTGCACAGCTGATCCTCCATGGAGGGTGGGGAAGTGGGTGGTCAGTGGTCACAGCCAATCCTTGCAACGGACTGGCCTGGGTAAATCCCTCCTATTTACCTGCCAACAGCAACAAAGGCTCAACTACAAGAGGAGGGTGCACTCAGTCCACATGAAGGACACACCTCAAGTACCCAACTTGGGTGATAGGGGAGGCTGTGCCACTGCGCCCTACAGGACACCTACTACATTAGGCCATGCTACCAAGATGGGGAGTCATAGCAACTCTACCTAATACATAGAAACAAACACATGGAAGCTTCTCAAAATGAGGAGACAAAGAACAATGGTCCAAATGAACAGGTCAAAACTCCAGAAAAAGAACTAAACAAAATGGGGATAAGCAATCTATCAGATGCAGATTTCAAAACACTGGTTATAAGGATGCTCAAGGAATTTAGTGAGGGCCTCAACAGCATAAAAAAGATCCAGTGAGAAATGAAGGATTCACTCATTGAAATAAAGAACAATTTACAGGGGAACAACAGTAGGGTGACAAGAATCATATAAAAAATGAAAGTGAAAAAAAGAATCAAGTCAATGATTTTGGAATATAAGGAAGCAAAAAACAATCATACAGAACAAGAAGAAAGAATGAAAAACAACAAGGAAAGTATAAGCAACCTCTGGGACAACTTCAAAGGTTCCAACATTTGCATTATAGGGGTGCTAGAAGGAGAAGAGAAAGAGCGAGAAATAAAGAAAACTTCCCTAATTTGGTGAATGAAATAGACATGGAAGTCCAGGAAGCACACAGAGTCCCAAACAAGATGGATGCAAAGGTACCCACTCCAAGACACATCATAATTAAAATGCCAAAGGTTAAAGATAAAGAGAGAATCTTAAAATCAATAAGAAAGAAGCAGTTAGTGACCTACAGGGGTGTTCTCATAAGGCTGTCAGCTGATTTCTCAAAAGAAACTTTGCAGGCTAGAAGGTATTGGCAAGAAATATTCAAAGTCATGAAGAGCAGAGACCTACAGCCAAGATTGCTCTACCCAGCAAAGATATCATTCAGAATCAAAGGGTAGATAAAGAGCCTCCTAGACAAGAAAAAAACTAAAGGAGTTTATCATCACCAAACCATTATTATATGAAATGTTAAAGGGACTTTTTTAAGAAAAAGAAGACAATGAAAACTATGAACAGTAAAATATCAATAAATACTTATCTATCAACAATTGAATCTAAAAAACACTAAGCAAACAAGAAAAACAGAGACAGAATCATGGTTACAGAGGGCATGTTGATGGATGCCAGATGGGAGGTGCGTGTAGAGGAATGGGTGAAGAGGTGAGTGGATTATGAAATACAAATTGGTAGTTAGAATAGTTAGAATAGCCATGGGGATGTAAAGTACAATATAGGAAATGGAGTAACCAAAGAACTAATATGCATGACCCATGGACATGAACAATGGTGGAGTGGGGGTTGCCTGAGGGAATGGGAGTTGCTGGGTTAAAAGGGTAAAAAGGAAAATTGGGACAACTATAATAGCATAACCAATAAAATATAATTTAAAAAAGAAGTAAATAGCCTTAAGAGTTTAAAAGAGAGAGAACAAGACCCATACATTTGCTTTTTACGAGACCCCCACCTCAGATTGAAAGACACACAGAGACTGAAAGTAAAAAGATTGAAAAAGACATTTCATGCAAATGGAGATTTTAAAAAACTGAGTAGCAATATTTATATCAGGCAAAATAGACTTTAAAACAAAGTTTATAAGGAGAGACAAAGAAAAAAATTTCATAATGATAAAGGGATCAATCCAATAAGAGAATTTAACCCCTGTAAATATTTGCATATCCAATACTAAATATAAATAGTGATGGACATAAAAGGAGAGATTGACCATCATACAGTAATTGTAGGGGACATTAACGCCCCATTGACATCAATGGATACATCATTCACAGAAAATCAAGGAAAGAGCAACCCTATATTACACATTTGACCAGATATATTTGATTGATATTTTAGACCATTTTACTCCAAAGTAGCAGAATATACATCCTTTTCAAGTGTACATGAAACATTTTCCAGAATAGACCACGTTAGGCCACAAAACAAATCTCAATAAATTTAAGAAGATTGAAATTATAACAAGCATTTTCTCTGATCACGATAGTATAAAGCTAGAAATCAATTACATAAAGAACACTGAGAAACAATCATATGGAAGCCAAATAACATGTTACTAAACAATAAATGAGTTAACAACAAGGTGAAGTAAGAAATAGAAAGATACCTTGAGAAAATGAAAATGAAAACACAGCAACCCAGAAGACCTTCAGCGTTGCCCTAGCGGAGTACCTGCTCTCTGGGTGCAGATATGTATAACACACCAACTTACTGTGACCTAGGAAAGGCTGCCAAGGATGTCTTCAACAAAGGATATGGGTTTGGCATGGTCAAAATAAACCTGAGAACCAAGTCATGTAGTGGAGTGGAATTTTCTACTTCTGGTCGTGCTTATACTGATACAGGGAAAGCTTCAGGCAACCTAGAGACCAAATATAAGGTCTGTAATTATGGACTTACCTTCACCCAAAAATGGAACACAGACAATACTCTTGGAACAGAAATCTCTTGGAAGAATAAGTTGGCCGAAGGGTTGAAACTTACTCTTGATACCATATTTGTACCGAACACAGGAAAGAAGAGGGGGAAATTGAAGGCCTCCTATAAACTGGATTGTTTCAGTCTTGGCAGTAATGTTGATATAGATTTTTCTGGCCCGACCATCTATGGCTGGGCTGTGTTAGCCTTTGAAGGTTGGCTTGCTGGCTATCAGATGAGTTTTGACACAGTGAAATCCAAACTGTCACAGAATAATTTCGCCCTGGGTTACAAGGCTGCGGACTTCCAGCTGCACACTCATGTGAATGATGGCACTGAATTTGGAGGGTCTATCTACCAGAAGGTTAATGAGAAGATTGAAACATCAATAAACCTTGCATGGACAGCTGGCAGTAACAATACCTGCTTTGGCATCGCTGCTAAATACAAGTTGGATTGTAGAACAACTCTCTCTGCTAAAGTAAATAATGCCAGCCTGATTGGACTGGGTTATACTCAGACTCTTCGACCAGGAGTCAAACTGACCCTATCAGCTTTAATTGATGGAAAGAACTTCAATGCAGGAGGTCACAAAGTTGGGTTGGGATTTGAACTAGAAGATTAATGAGGTTTTGAATAAAACATCAGATTTCTCCCTGGAGATGAAGAGAAATGAACCCACTATGTTTGGGCCTTAAAATTCTTTGAGATTTCAAAAGTGTGAACTTTTTATTCTTCCAAAGAATTGTTATCCTCCCACACACTGAAGTCTAGAGATCACAAGGGAGGTGCTGGAAGGCATGCCTGGAAGTTGTCATATTTGTGCCACATTTCAGTTCAGTTCCACAGTATTATTTTAAATGTGATCCTCAGTGACAATGTAGTGTTGTGTTATAAAGGAAATAACCCAATCCTCCAGTTTGTACATCACATCCTGCATGTCCCGCACTACTTTTTCATGACCTTTTAATATATTGATCTCTGTGCTGTAGTGGAGTCTTTGGTTTATTAGCATCAGAGCAAAATAAAGTAAACCCATCACATTTGAAAGTAGTCACTCAAAAAAAAAAAAAAGAAAAGAAAAGAAAACACAGCAACCCAAAACCTATGGGAAACAATAAAAGCAGGCCTCAGAGGTAAATTCATAGCATCATAGGCCTACCTCAAGAAACAAGAAAAATCTCAATAAACAATATAATCTTACACCTAAAGCAACTAGAAAAAGAAGAACAAACAAAGGCCAAAGTGTGTAGAAGAAATAAATAGTAAAGAACAGAGCAGAAATTAAAAAAATACAAAAAAAAATATAAAAGACCAATGAAACCAAAAATTGGTTCTTTGAAAAGAGAAACAAGATTGATAAATCTTTTACCAGACTCATTAAGAGAAAAAAAGAGAGGACCCAAATAAATAAAATCAGAAATGAAAGAGAAGTGATAACTGACACCACGGTGATCCAAAGCATTATAAGAAATACTACAAATATATTCCAACAAATTGGACAATTTTGAAGAAATAGGAGAGAAGATGGCGGAGGAGTGAATGGGAGTCATGCTGACCTCCTCCCAAAACCAAACTGGAAATGCAACTAAATAAGGGAGTAATCACCTGGAAAGCAGTGGAGCAATAGTGGGAGAGGAGCCTTGGTGCCTTGGACACTGGATTCTACTCTCACACATCCCAACGAGTGAGAAATGCGGTGGAGGCTCGAGAGGGTGGGCTGGGTGCCCACAGGCACTGGCACCAGAGGGACATTGAAATGGCCAGTTAGCTTCCCCCAAGAAGAACGGGGTCTGAATCATAAACAGGAACCCCTAAACTACAGCAGCTAAAGCCAAGAAAATACAGACAAAATGCAACCCCGAAAAGCTTAGGGGCGCTCTCTGCCAGAGACAGGTGGCTGGGGATGCAAAGAGACATTTAAAGGGCCAACACAAAAGTTGCAGTGGCAGCCGCCCTCCTTGATCTCTGGGTAGAGGTGGCAGCAGGGTGGGCTGGTGCCTGGGAAAAGACTGGTGAGGAAAACTTTGTGAAGAGAACTGACACTGGCTGGTGAAGCCCCGGGTGATAACGCACTTCCCACTCTGCAGCTACCATCTCGCTCAGGCATAAGGGAATCCATTAACCTGCCTTTTGTGCGCTCCGCACACAGCTTGTAGGCATGTGAGCTGCGGGGCTGAGTGCAGACTGGCTGGGAGAGCCTTGAGGAGAGACTGGAGACGGAGGCATTGGGGAAAGAATGGGAGGAGGAAGCAGGGAGTCCCGACTCCTTCTCCTTGCCGTAGTCTCCATTGTGCGGGAAGAGGCCACACACCCAAAGAGCCAAAAGCCAAAAAGCACACATAGACACCCCCAAAACACCAAGTGCAGGCGCGCACACTTGTGCCGAATGACCGGCGAGGGTTGGCAAGCGTGTGTAACCTGCGCGGGCTGGAAAATGCTTGCACCGGCTGGCAAGGCCTCCCACAGATTGGCACCATACGGCCTGTGAGGGAGTGCACAGAGCGGCAAGGGCGGGCGTAAATTGACCCGCCAGCCCGCGATTGCGGAGCGGCCCACAAAATTGGTAGAGCTGCCCAGAGTCCCTGGAGGAGAGACCAGAGATAGGATTAACAGGAGAGTCCTAGAGCTGACTTCCTCCCATTTCCGTAGTCCCCATTTGGGGAGGGCAAGCAAACCACCCAAAGAGCCAAAAGCAGGGAAAATACACAATAGAAGACCCTAAACGGACCAGTGCCGCAGAGCTTGCTGGCCAGGGGGCCAGATGAGTACCCGAGGTCGCGCATAAGCCCCCTGGTCTGGGGCAAGCACATGCGAGCCCAGGCAGGCGGGGGATCCTGCCACCCTGGGAGCGCGCTCAAGGAGCCTGCATGAGAGTGCAGAGAGATCCCAAAATATAGCCCAGCCCTGACGGAAGGGGTCACAGAGCTGCTCCAAGCAGGAGTCAGACACAGGCATTAGGCTCCTGGAAGGCTCAAACAAACAACCCAAGATCCTATAGGGTCAACAACTGACATCATCAGAGGCAGGCCCAGAAAGAAAAGTAAAGGACAAAAATACTTAACAGACTCTCACAAAAATGGGAAGAAAAAGAAGCTCCCCCCAAATGAGTGGAAAAGGGACTACCCACAGAGAGAGCGCAATGACATAGAGGCAAGGGAACTGTCAGATACTGAATTCAAAACAATGGTTCTAAGGAAGCTCAATGAGCTCAGCCAGCTCAAAGAACTATGAGAAACTGCAGAGAAACTATCAGGATCTTACAGCAAACTCTATCAGCCTGGAAAAGGACATAGAAACTCTCAAGAAGACACAAGAGGATATGAAGAATACCATTTCTGAATTGAAGAACACAGTAGAAGGAATCCAAAGCAGGCTGGATGAAGCTGAGGATCGAATCAGTGAGATGGAGGACAAGGTAGAAACAAGCTCCCAGAAAGAACAAGAAATGGAAAAACAACTCAAAAAGAATGAAGAGGCATTTAGAGAAATGCAGGACAACCTGAAATGCAATAATATCCATATAATAGGGATCCCAGAAGGAGAAGAGGAGCAAGGGATAGAGAACCTCCTTGAAAAAGTAATGATGGAAAATTTCCCTAATTTGAGGAAAGGCTCTCATGGATCCAGGAGGCACAGAGGACCCCACTCAAGAGGGACTCAAAGAGGTCCACTCCAAGACACAACATCATTAAAATGGCAAATGTCAAAGACAAAGAGAGAATCCTCAAGGCAGCAAGGGAGAAGGAGAAATTAACATACAAGGGGGCCCCGATACGCCTAGGAGCTGACTTCTCAGCAGAAACACTACAAGCCAGAAGGGAATGGCAACAAATATTCCAAGCCATGAAAAGCAAGGGCCTACAGCCAAGGCTGCTCTACCCAGCTAGGCTCTCCATTAAAATAGAAGGAGAAATATGGATTTTCCCAGACAAAAGAAAGCTAAAAGAATACATCTCTACCAAACCAGCACTCCAAGATATGCTAAGGGGACTGGTTTAAGCAGATGAAGGAAAAGAATGAGACAGAGAGGAACACAAGTACAAAGAGAAAAGATGAGTAAGTTTCTATCAGTAATATCTCTCAATGTGAATGGATTAAATGCCCCAATCAAAAGACACAGGGTAGCTGAATGGATAAGAAAACATGACCCACACATATGTTGCCTACAAGAGACCCACCTCAGAGCAAAAGACCTACACAGATTGAAAGTAAAGGGATGGAAAATAATATTCCAAGCAAATGGACATGAGAAAAAGGCTGGCGTTGCCACACTTGTATCAGACAAAGTAGATTTCAAAGCAAATGCCATAAAGAGAGACCCAGAGGGGCACTTTATCATACTTAAAGGAAGAATCTATCAAGAAGGCATCAACATTGTAAACTTATATGCTCCCAATATAGGAGCCCCCAAGTTTATAAGGAAATTGTTGGATGACTTCAAAAAAGATATAGACAGCAACACACTGATAGTAGGGGATTTCAACACCCCACTGTCAAAAATGGACAGATCTTCCAAACAAAACATTAATAAACATATTGTGGCGCTGAAGGACACACTGAATCAAAGAGACTTAACTGACATATATAGAACCTTACATCCCAAAGAAGAAAAATACACATTCTTTTCAAATGCTCATGGCAGTTTTTCAAAGATAGACCACATGATAGGACACAAAGCAAGCCTCAGCAAATTCAGGAAAATTGAAATAATACCAAACTTTTTCTCGGACCACAAGGCCTTGAAACACGAAATCAACCTCAAAGAGAAAATTCAAAAACTTGCAAGCTCATGGAGACTGAACAGTAGACTATTAAACAATGAATGGGTCAATAATGAGATAAGAGAAGAAATCAAAACATTTCTGGAAACAAATGAAAATGAACAGACAACAGTCCAAAACCTATGGGACACAGCAAAGGCGGTCCTAAGAGGGAAGTTCATAGCAATACAGGCTTACCTAAAAAAGATAGAAACCTTTCAAATAAAAGACCTAACACTACAACTTCAAGAACTGGAGAAACAACAACAAATAAATTCCAGAGCAAGTAGAAGGAAGGAAATAGTCAAGATGAGAGCAGAACTGAATGACATAGAGACAAAAAAGAACAATTCAGAGGATCAGCCAATCCAGAAGGTGGCTCTTTGAAATGATAAATAAAATTGACAAGCCCTTAAGCAGACTCATCAAGAAAAAAAGGGAGAGGACCAAAATTAATAATATCAGAAATGAAAGAGGAGAAATAACAACTGATACCACAGAAATACAAATGATCATCAGAAACTATATGAACAATTATATGCCAAGAAATTTGAAAATCTTGATGAAATGGACAAATTTTTAGAAAAGTATAATCTTCCAACACTGAAGTAGGAAGAAACAGAAAGCTTGAACAGACCGATAACAGCTGGGGGAATTGAAGCAGTCATCAAGAAACTCCCGGCACACAAAAGCCCAGGGCCGGACGGTTTCCCAGGAGAATTTTACAAAACATTTAAGGAAGAGCTAACCCCTGTCCTTCTCAGACTATTCCAAAAAATCCAAGAGGAGGGAAGACTCCCAGACTCTTTCTATGAGTCCAGCATCACCCTGATCCAAAAACCAGATAAAGACCCTACAAAGAAAGAAAACTACAGGCCAATTTCGCTGATGAACATGGATGCTAAAATCCTCAACAAAATATTGGCAAACCGCATCCAGCAATACATTGAAAAGATTATCCACCACGATCAAGTGGGATTCATCCCAGGCATGCAGGGATG